ATTGTGATGATGCCCTGTCAGGCCAGAGCGATGATTCAAAAACATGAAAACCCATTAAAACGGAGGCATTCATGCATCCAGTGGGGACATAATTATGGATTATAATGACTTATACTGTCGCGTAAACATAAAACCATGTCTGCATTTGTGATCGGAGATACAGAGAAAGGAAAAATTGAAATCGCATCATATGACCCCTTTAACTAAATGATCTTCACACCTAAAGTTGAAATTAGAAACACCTCCTCTGATTTCCTGAGTTTTGAAATGATTACAGCATTAATTTAAAGTTTCTTTGTTCCTCTCAGAGTTGGATTCTTTCCGCAGTGGAGGAAAACAACCTCAAAGTGAGATCACGCTGTGTTTTGGAGAAGAGCTGTATGATGGAGATAACGTTGATGATAAACAGATCATCATTAAGGTACAGACCTAATGTCAATGCAGCAATATCTTTTGTATATGGATCAAATGCTACATTTGTGCTGTAAGTGGATGCAACATTTGCTACTTTAGCAGCTGTCTAAAACTTGCCACTTTGAGATCTTGCATGTTGAGACCATTTGTGTTGCAACATACGTATTTGAGTGTTTTGAATTGAACAGAAGCATGAATGAGAGTTTTTGAGATATGGCAGAAAAAAATATTTACATTTCCACCAGAATGATTGATTTTGGGTGCACTATTCTTTTAATTTTCTTTTGCTTTCTCCAGATCTCTATCCCCTGGGTTGAGTCGCAGATAGAAGAGGTCAAGACCCTCAGAGACTCTATTGCAATTCTCAAAAGTTTGGCCAGCCAGTCTCCTACAGGGGAAGTGACGCTGAACTTTGTTGAAGTATTGGAGCAGTAACAAACCTCTAAGATAACACTTTCTGCATTCTTGAGATCTTGACATTAAGAATCAAAATGAAGAAGAACAACTATATATGGCATGACTTGAGACAACTTGTATAAACACTTTCCTGTAGGTAGCTAGTGGAAATAAACACTGTAATTATCAGTTGCTTCAAATACATAAAATATATAGCCATATAGTAGTTAAATCCACATATTTATAAGTAATATAAAACATGTCTTTAGTCAATATAGAATTAATTGTATGTTACACTGCAAAATGTAAGAACACAAAATATTTTGTCATTTGTACCACTATGCATTTCCCATCTGGCCTAGTGGAGTCTGAGTAAAGTTCAAACTCATTAAATGCATTAATAACATTGTGCATGGTTAACTAAAAATGGATTGTTAAATGACCCTGTACATTTTCATCTAACGCTAATGTTACACTGAATTTTTCATTTGTTTTGTAAATAAATTAATCAGTGGCAATAAAGGATGTCATCGCTTGCCTTGTGATGCTGGCTGTCTCAATCATAATGGCAGAAACCGAGAACTAAAAATGCACCTTTTTTAGGGGGCCACATATCAAAGGTGCTGGAACCCATTTCTGTTTGAACTGATTTTCTTCTTCGTCCTCTTCTCTTTTTTATTCTGCCCTAAAAGTGTACAGGCTGTAAATTTTAGAAACCCCAAACATGGCAGGATGGTCACAATCATGTGCATCTGCTCGGGCTCACAGAAACACATCAGTGTGACACTAGGTGGCGCTATAGAGAGCTGCAAGGATGAAATATTTTTGGAGGCCAAAACCCGGAAACTAGTATTTTTGCACTTCCAGCTTCATAGGTCTGAAGTCAGTGTTTTTTTTGTTTTTGGCTAAATGGCTGAAATAAGTTCTGTGGTTTACACAAGCTCAAGATATTCTCAAGCGTTATTCTATGGCCCAAAATTTTTCTGAATAACCTAGTCATGATTTATTGTTTTATGTGTCATGCAAAAAGGTGATTGATAACAAGTGGTTAAATGGGAATACAGAGGTTGTTTGGACATTGAAACTGCTCACTAGTCCGCTTTTACAGCCTCATTTGTGTTTATAATTGTGCACTTGCAAACTATTGTAACTCAAAAGGGAAACTTTTTTTAAATAAAGACTAAGAATTGTTGAAAGATTAGAGATGGTGACACTGTAGTAGTCTTCTGATCGTACTGTAGTTTCTAGTTTGTTTATAGCCAATTGAATAGACATCAAAGTTCATAAAATCTGTGTTCATTTGTGAAGATTATCATGATGAACAAAACATGTAAGAATCATGAACTTTTGCTGGCCACAAAAACTAATTTTATGTAATAATTCAAAGGCCAATGGAAACATCTTATTGGGTTTTTATCAAGGGAACCAGGGTGAAGCTAACTTCCGGGTTGCCCTACAAAAAAAAAAAACGTATCGCTGTCAGCACTCTAAGGCAGTTTTGGATCATAACTGTGGAATCCTAAAGGCTAGTAACAAATTGTTTTTCCCCTGAATCCTTGAGTCAAGCCTTAACAAATATCCTACCAGTAATCTCAGATTACATTTCCGTCTATAAAATTATTCAGCCATTTTGAATTGACTGAAAATCATACTTTTTCAAACTCCTCCTAGGCCCTTGATCTGATCTTCACCAAATTTTGCACATAGTAGCTAGGGACAATGCTGGCAAAAAGTTATTGATTTGTCAAAGCGATTTAAGTCACAAATTGACTTGAATCTCCTGACTGCAATGTCCAGAGTTAACAAAACTTGATATACATAGACCACAGGATATTCTGAGGACACACTCCAAGTTGCATCAGAATTGCACCTGTAGGGGAGGCTACAACTACAAATTCTTAATAATGTCATAATGTTAGGGATTTAGTGCCCCCCTGGAGGGTATTCCAGAAAGCAGGCTTAATTTATTGTGACAGTAACAATGAAGTGATTGAACTGCACTTTGGTTTTAGTTGAATCAACCCAATTTGTAACTCAAAGAGCAAATTCCAAACACCATTTTTGCTCCTGTGAAGGAGACGCCACACAAAGGGTCGTTCCAAATGAAAGTGAAATAGATTAAGAAAAAAAGATAATGTAATTTAAAGAATGCTATTAACCAAACCATTTCTGTGCCAGTTGACTTGGACCAAAAAAAAAAAAACACAGAAATGTTTCTAAATATTTTTTTTTTTTATGTTCCACAGATGATAGTCAGTCATACAGGTTAGGAAATGCAAACGTCAGCAGTGCTGCAGTGGAAAAGGGGCATCAGAACAGCAAATATAAGCTCCAGACAGACCTGAAGATTCACATATTGTAGGACACACCTCGCATGAATCATACACTCACACTACTCTGAGCTGATTTGCTCTCAGTTTGCTGAAAGGAATCGTCTAAATTATTAGAGACTGGATTAGCTCACAATAACCTTCATATAGTTAAAGTTGAATACTACACTACTTCATGACAACATAAAATCTCATGAAACTTTTCTTTTTTTTCGTATTAAGTCTGTAAAATGGAGAACCCCATGTAATGACAGCACCTGAGGAACCATACGTAGTTTCATTACAGATTAATTTAAAGGTGGGGTATGTCTTTTTTCAAAAACCCTTTAGAAAACTGAGTCGGGCCGAGTACCAAAACAAACTTGTAGCCAATCAGCAGTAAGGGCGTGCCTACTCGTGGTGCGGAGGAGAGAGCGCTCAGTGCACAGGGCGAACATTAGCCGAGCCGAGCGAGGACAGAAAGATAGAGCTGGCGGATAAAAAACAAAGAGGAAAATGTCTGCGGAAAAAAAAGAAGGCTTACGATAAGGCAAGTAGGATCCCGTGTAAATATCGGTCAGCTTTCCAGTGCGATCGGATGCCGAGGTTGCTTTGTTTCTTCTCGATAGGTGAGTAACATTGGTTTTGCTTTGTTTCACAGAACTAATATATGCTGTTAAAACACATATATGCATATTAAAAACGCACAGTACTACCAAAACACATTCGACCAGTATTACCATAGTAACACATTGCATTCACTTATTGATGACATCATACCCTCGGCCGGCTGGCACAGCAGATTCCGCCATAATCATTGCCTGGGTTGCGTATGTATGTGTGGGGCGGAGCTATCAAAATAGGGGCGAGACCCTTTTGGGGTAGGGGCGTGTTTGTTTTGGTGATTTGAAATATCAACATTGGCTACCAGAAATCCCTTACCCCACCTTTAATGTTTAGATCGATGGATATATAGATCTTAAACTAACCAATTAATGACAGACCATCAAAGTGATCAAAGAAAAAATATGCTGCTTGTATTACGAGTCCCCCTCAATGTAAGTTTGTGGTTATTTTTAGGGTCAAAGAGGGTCAAAAAATCATACCAAACTAAAGAAGATGGTTCTTTTTGCATATATTGAGGACATCATCTATATCACATAAATGTGTCAAAATGAAATACGATACAATGAGTCAAATAATCTTAAAAACCCAATTTTGAGGCAACACAGGGGGGGAGGTTAAACATTTCCATTGGCTGGGGAGACCAGCTCCATGATCTTGGCATTGAGTTTCTGATTGGTCCAATCTTTTGTGATGTCATCCAAATGGCTGTCAAAGTCCACCAATAGTGCCTGATCACCGGAGCTGAACAGCTGATTAACTATGGAACAGGTTTCTTCCCACTGCCGAAGCATTATTCTGAAGAATACACATTATTAATTAATTGCACTGCAGCATTATCATCAACAAAGCTGCACATTTTTTGAGATTTGTCTTACGTGTGTTTGTCTTTGAGAGCCCAGCGGGCGTCTTTACGCTCATACATCACGATCGGAGGAACACGGCAGCCTGGAAACATCTTTTCTCCATCAATCTGAGGCATAAACATTTTTTCCATTAAAACAAAAGGACTTTTCCAATTAACTTTTGCACCAAGGTGACATTCTAAATTACCATAAGCAACACGGCATTGTTACACTGCTCGAAGATCTTCTCTGCAATCTTCAAAGCACATGGTGTAGGGCTGAAGAAAAAAAAAAGAGAAAAGTAAAACACAGAGAATAATAAGGAACTCGGGAATGATGAAAACAGATGGAGGAGTACCTGCTGTCTGAGACACAAGCATTGGCTTGATAATATCCCATAATCCTTTGATGTGTTTGCGAACACCAAGCGTCGACCTACAACAGGAAATATTGACATGTATTCTATTAAAGAAGCATTTAAATTTTACATTTAGCAGGGATATTTATCCAAAGAGACTTACAAATGAGGAATACAATGTCATGCTGTTAATGCTGCTATAATAAAGATCATTCTATATTCAATTCTTTAAAAACACAGTCCCAGATTTAAAAAAAATAAATGTGTGTATATATATATATATATAAATGTAATATAATTCATTCATTCATTCAAAAAAAAAAAAAAGAAAAAGAAAAATCAAAAACTTAAATATTGGATATTCATAAGAATATGTAAATCTACTTAAACCAAAAACATTAACTGAGATAATAATACACAAAATATATATTTAACTCAAATAAATAATATTTTCATATATATATATATATATATATAATCATATATTATATCATTTATAACTCATATAAATCATTTATAGAGTACTTTCTTTAAATGGCTGACTGAATTAAAATACTTTTAATTTCTGATAAAGAAAAGAACAAGATTTAGATTCTATTGAAAGTCAGTCTTTAAATAATAATAAAAAATCTGTCAAAATTTGTCACTACCAAAACTAAGCTTTTGTATATTAACTTTTTGGTTTTGCCTGATTTAAAAAACTTTTTTTTTTTAACAATTTATGATGCGCAAGTGAGACTGCATCCCTGTCCATCACTGCTGTATGAAGAGTAGCTGAATCCCATCATTTTGAAGATTCAATTCACTTCAAATATAGTAAGTCCTAAATGTGTTTCACCTATTCTCACTGAAAAATTCTGCATTCATGACCCTTTTAAATCTTAAAGCTAATGACACAATGACGTTCTTCTTATACACATTCACTATGTTTGAAGTTCTGCAATGAAAAATCATATCAGAAATAAAAACAATTGTTCCGATAAGTGGATGGCACTCGCTGGGTTAAGTGCAGCGGCATGCCAATTTTCCCACTGCAAATATT